AATTCCACCGAGCGGGTGTTCATCCCCGAACTATATGAGGAAGCCATGCATAGTCTGGTCAGACTGGGATCAAAGGCGTGGCTGGGCATAATGGACATGTAGAGGCAGCAAAAAAATTCTGAAATGTAATATAGAGTTTAAAAATTAAAATTTGAGTTGAAAGTCCGAACGCTTATTGCTGGATTTTTCCGTTTTTTGTTGCTCATAGCGTAATATGTTTTTGATGGGAATGAAACATATCTGCTTCCTCATGAATTCAACTTGCCAAGTGAAAGATCAAAAATAATACTTCTTGTTACATCACTCACCCGGTCTCCGTAATTTTTCGCAGCTGAAGTTGCGACTTCAAGAAACGAGTGTGTTCATCCTTTACTTTAGGTGTTCCTCTCCTGCCTGCTACTAGCGATCCATAATGCTGTAGTTGCAATCCAGTATGAATTGGGGGAATTTTATTGAAATAAATGAAATAACGCTTACAACACGGGTCTCCATCTTTGAAAATCCAGCCATTTGCTTTCCCAATTGCATCTTCTTGGGGTGCCTTGGCGAGAAAGACCTTTGGTGCCTTTGCTTTCGCCAGAGGAATCAGGACATACCTAGATGTGAACGAAGGAATTCAATTAGAGATTGGATCTGGATGTGAAGAACATGAATGAAGAGGAAACGGACTTTTCGAGAAGGACCCGAAATACGAGGAAAGAGAATGAGATCGGGAAGACATAATGAAGATCCTGGAATTCTGGCATGGGCCTTCCCGGCTTGGACTTCACGTCTTCCCATGTCACATTCTTCGGCAACCAGTATTCCTCCTTCCACACCGATGCTCGAAGCGTCCTCAAAGCCTCCATTGTTGCTCTACGATGATACCCTCAGGATGATACTTTTGGAGGTTTCTCCTTTCCCCTCACTAACTTTGCCAACACTGAGAAGTTTAACACTAGGCGTTGTCTTTGCGATGTTACTAGCTGATCCTTAAGGGAATCAATGTGTTTTTAGAATATATTTAGAAGAAACTCTAACAAATGGTGGCGCAAAAAGCGACCCGTTTGCACTGCGTTCATAGGTTTTTCATGCCAAGGAGAATATATATTTGGACTTTCTTTCCTGATAGTTTGTCTGGTTAAAAGGTAATTGTCAGCAAACTGGTAACAAACTCTACTATGGAATCACTTCCCTGTATCATACTGCAGTGGATTAAGATCCGCTCTGAAGATGATTCTCATTCTCCAACTAGAATACAGTTTCATTCATATTACAGAAGCTGGAGAACGAAGAGAATACTATTCGTGCTTTCAAAGAGTCCATGCATACTCTCTGCACTCTCCAGCTCTTCTTTTCAAGGCAGCTAAGAAAAACATACTTCGCCCACTTGCATTGTTTTCCTTGTAATCATATTGCACTGTAAAGACCACAATGCCGGGGACTAAGCTGCTAACATTGCTTTCTTTTAGCCATAAAAACGAGCACTCATGAAGTCGCTGCAGCTCGACCCTGTAAAACGTCTAAATGTACCCCTTTTTTGAGTACCCTCTTACATTTCGATGAGAACTAATTGCACTTTCCAAGAATTAGGATTAACAATGGAGATCACAGAGAAGTTGGAAAGCAACTGCTCACGTATCCGCAGGATGGATACGCTGAACTATAACATTCCCTTCTGTTAGAGAATGACACGGCCAGACTCGTCATGATGATCATGTTCTGAAGGCGCAAGGCAAGAACTTAGATTTTCCTTGGAAGCACCATAGGACTCCCCCCACCCTCTTGCGAAGAAAAAAATCTCGATTTGGGAGTGGACCGGGACGATTCGATACGAATGACATATTTCGTAACGTCCTTCTCAGTTTTTTTGCGCGTGTTTCTTCATGAGATGAAATTGAAGTCACGGCTCACTTTCATGTAATCAGTATCTGGTCACCATACTGCCTTTCGTTTTGAGTTCAAGCATCTGAAATCCAAAATGAAACCTTCCAATTGAAGATTTTTCCACAGGTCAAACTAGACAGTGTTTGAAGAGCCATTCATTCTCGCTCGATTAATCGTTGAATGCAATTGATTTCCTTTCACTGTGGAGAATGTGCGTCCCCTGGGATATTCATGAGACACCATCAACGTTCTTTGAAGTGTTTCAGACCCATTGACATCATCATGTTCCTTTGAATTAATAAAGCTGCGGTGGAGGCAAGGAAAGGAGGCGTTCGCTCGCGCGGTTGTCTGGCCCTTCTCGGCTCCCGTCACACACATTCTCCTTCTCCACCTCTCATTCCCCTTCTTGCCAGGACACGGATTCCAAAAGAGGAGGAGGCTCAGCCCCGCCTCCAATGGGGCTGAGGATTTTTCCCTTCCCGGTGGTGAGGTAGGCTATATTCCCACAGGATAACATGGACAGCCAACCGTTTGGGGGCCAAAGATTTTTCGGAAATATTCGTCTTTCTGATCTCAGTCCTAATTTTATTTCGTATTATGTCCAAGCCTACTCTGAAATGGTAGACTTGATTCGAAGCAGATTTAATGTTGATTTTGCGAATGTTGTCCTCAGCAATTGCTTTTAATCCCAGACCTACATTTCTTTTCGACTAGATAATATATTACCTGTCGTAAACAGAACAAAATGAGTGCATGTCTTCATTTGCATGGTGCTTAATGAATAGAATTATGAACAGAATTTTCCACGAAACTCTCACGTGAGACTGAGAGAGCCGGTTAACATCGAATGCTGCACGTGCAACTTGCGTCGTGGAACTCCACTGAGTAGAACTCTATTGCTATATTTAATGTTGATTTTTCTGCTATTGTCCTCAGTAATTGCTTTTCAAACCCAACCCTACATTTCTTCTCGCCCAGATTATACAGTATTACCTGTTGCAAACTGCATCTACTTTCTCTCTGAATCTACCATTTAAAGCATGTCCCAAAGTGTGTATGCCCTCGGTTGCATCGTACATGATAAATAGAATTTTTAACAGTATTTTACACGAAAATGATGATTCCTTTTCTTTTCTCAAATCGGACCACCGTGCTCGCTCCTCAATAATGGCTCTTTAATCCCAAACCCAACTTTCAACCTGCCTTCAACGGCGCCAGCTTCTATTGTCTCTCAGCGAATAATTACTGCCTTCAATAACTTGCGAAAGAAGGCATGGAGCAACCGAGAATATGCAAGATGTGATACATTTATGTGTGATTTAAACCTTGGAAATCCGTACTCAAGATGTCGTAGAAGGAATAAGAAACTAGATCAGAGTGAGATCTAAAGTTTCTCATAAAGTCATGCATAGTGAATTTCAAGGAAAGGGAAGTCAGAAGAAAAGTAATAAATGCTCGTAAAAGGAATCCGAAATGAGCATGGACATCTCCAGGTAGAGAAGGAAAAATATTTGTGATTGTCCTTGAAGGAAAGAATAGCTCTGACTCAACAGTACATTACTCATTTAAGTTCAGCGAGAACTTAAAACATAACGGATGCCCCCAGACTCGCCATACATGGGGAACCCAACGCTCTCCATTCATTGAGCAAGAATAGCTAGTCTCCCTGAGCAAGGTTACGTCTAACAACAAATGAAATAACAAGAATGACTCCCTTCCTTCGACATGTACGTGGAAATTATCGAGTTGAAGACGAAAGCTTTTGCAGAACCATTTATTATCATTTGGGGAATCGGGCGACACAGAGGCGGGATGAGCGCGACCTCGTCCATATTGTGAAAATTGTATATTTATTGAATGAACTGCTACTTGTAAGTCTAGATAAAAGGCCTCAACGTGTATGCGTTTCATTCCAAGGACATCAAGACTGTAGATCGTCCCAACCACAGTAGACATGGTTTATCCAAAAGTCATTCATGTTGTCCGGACCAAAGTAGCAATTTTGATTCAAAATAAATCCATTCGACATACCACCATGGACACTGAAACAACCAATGCATATCCTGGATTACTCAATATCTCGTCCTATTGAGTAATATCTCGTCCAAGGATAATCCTTGGAAGTGTTCAAAGGATGTCTGTTTTTGTGAATCCATTGGAGATTCCCAATGGATGAGGAAGAAATTGCTGATGCCAATTGACAGTATTGGTCTTTTCAGAAAGGCTGATTGCACTTCATGGCGTGGCACGATCAGGTGCGTTGCGATTAGGATTGGATTTAGCGTTTAGGATAGGGATATTCCATTTTGGATTTTCCGACTTGCTAGTCATCAAAAATCGAGGAAAAGCTTGAATAGAACGAAATTTCAGTGATGGACTGACAACTTGTTGGAGAATTCATGAGTCCATTTGTCCTGAAACCCTCACATGGAACGGCAGTTGAAGGTCGTGACGACGCTACTCGGCAGAACCTTACTTTCAGGAAATCCTTTGCTAACTTGTGCCAATTTCCTTTAATTACTCCTAATAAATCCTTTCCTATAATTGGTCTTGACTTTGACATCTCAAGAGCGAATGACTATCTCCAACTAGGATGATTTCAAAAGGTTCCAGTAGCTTATTTGCAGAAGATTCGTGAACGCAGAAAGAGATATCCATGGAATTTTCTCTAGAAAAGCTGAAGACCCTGTGCAACCATGCCAAAGAGCAATGAATATACTGTACATGAAAGAACGCACCAAACCAATTTGCAGTATTTAATAGCCAACGACCCACATATGATCTGGAAGAAGTTCAAGCTAAGAGGAATAACTAAATCATTATCTATGGAAGTGATTAAGGATCCACCAGCTCCTCTAGCCTCCTTCCTAAGATACCATTGCCTCCCCCACCCCAATACATCCCATCCCCCTTCCTTCATCCCCCTCGCTCCAGGGAGGAAAGAAGGCAGATGAGAGGAGGATCGCGTGAAGGCAGCAGAGCAAATGTGGTGGAGAGGAAAAGCATGTAAGCTTAGAATATATTACTTTTATTTGCAACTGAAGTGGATCGTCAAGCTCCAGGGAGGAAAGAAGGCAGATGAGAGGAGGATCGAGAGAAAGCAGCAGAGCAAATGTGGTGGAGAGGAAAAGCATGTAAGCTTAGAATATATTACTTTTATTTGCAACTGAAGTGGATCGTCAGTATCTCGGTGCACTATTCGTAGATGACTTGATGCAGCTTTGTGTTTGATAACTCTACCATTTGTTCCTTCCCCAGAGATTGCAAGGGCAATGGTCTTGGAAGTCAACTTCAGGAGATTTATAGTTGCGAGTCATTTTGATTTTTTATATCTGACTTCATTGTCATCGTCGGAATCTTCGTCTTCGCTCCGGCAGTCGTTGACCTCCTTCTGAAAATCCAAAAAGAAATTGTTGCTATATTAAGCCTCACGTCGGTGAAAACATATCGAAACTCTATGAGGCATGTGGAGAAGCAGACCTTGAGAATGGCAGATTTGTAGACAATTTGAAGAATGAGAACAGTCCAGTAGAGGTGGAGGCCGAAGAGGGACCAGAGAAGGATGACGATGACATTGGAGGCGAAGCAGCTACCATGGCGCTCTCGATCCCAGTCGAGCAAACCTTGAGTTATCCTAAACCAGGCGTGCAGACCAGTTTTCACTCTCAGAGTCTTCCAAGAATACAGCATTGGGCTTACTGACGCATCGGGAAGGCAAGATTATGCTTACGGGATGATGATGTAGAGTGGGAAGTAGATGATTCGGGTGAGGACCCATGTTACTAAGAACATGACGAACACTGTATGAATAATTTTTTCCGATATGTGGAAGTACTTCATCAATTTCCCACACTGCAAGATGAAGGAATTGGAAATATATAAATAAGGGTCAACAGTGAGAGCGGTAAAAAGAAAGTCGCCAAAGACTCAAAAATAATGACAAAAATGCGAGGGGAATGGGCTGTTCAGCATTCAACTTGTGTGTAGGATAACCAGTGTCATCTTATTAACAATAACTTCCCATAGGAGCCAAGGTCAGCTTTGAACATATAATCCTTACATTTGCAAGGAGAAATAAGAATCCAAAAATAAGGAAACTAATTTATTTGAATAAATATGCATCAAAAACTATTTTTCTGTTTAAATAGGAAACAATCCTATGGTTGTACTTGAACTTTTTACACGCGTACTTTAAGGGAACAATATATCTAGCAGATGGTTTCAGGGTATGAATATTTATTGTGAGACAATATTTTCTTGAATACAATGTAATCAACGCCTAGGTGGCATTCGAAACGTCCTCGTTGAAGTACCTCGGTGGAACACAGAATCGAGTCTGACAGTTTTCTCAATTAACTACCTTCTATCTATATCTACTCCCACCTTCGCTGAAATAGCTTATTTAGTGCTGGCTTGAGAGGGAACGTTAACTGGGAGTTTGAGTTGCTCGAATTGGGAAGTTTCTTTCTGGCTTTCTGAACCGTTTGAATCATTTCCAGATGGGAATGCTTGTGCAAAAGGTAGTACCTTAAATAAATAAGTTCTTTACTATATAGATGGGGAAGTGCCTTATCAAGGCCTTATCATGCTTTTTCGAAGCATCTGCTACTTTACATGATACTTTACAACACTCTCGACATGGGGCAATCTAATATCAAGGGATCGTTGCCGGACCTCGAGGAAGACGTCAGCGCAGTCGTGGACGAGAAGGATGAGGGAGCCAACCCGAGTGGCGCCGTTGATCCAGGATCCCATCAAGAGGCTGATGGTGACCACGTGGTGGGTCATCTGTGCCAGGAAGTCTTTCCTCTTCACGTCGAACATCAGCGTCACGGACAAGGAGAAATAGAATCCTAGTTCGAGCATGTAGTACCACCACACGTCCAACGTCACGGGCTGCAAATGTATTTCCCATGCAAATCAGTTATCACTTTTTATCACCATCAACATCCTTCATTTTTCTCCATTGTGATCTTTATTTCTGGTAGCATTGGAATTATATGCTTCTGTACGTTTTCGCAATTCTCTGTAGCTGCGATTTTTTTTCAAGGTCAAGTTGTCGATAGTTACTTAGGAAGTTTCTGAATCCTATATCAAATGACCAACAAATGGATTGTGGTACAAATATCTCATTCACCAAAATAGACTTGGAAAGCATTAAATTGAAATGCTTATTTTGAAAACCTCAAAATTTGTATGTGCTTTAGGAATGTTATTATCGGCAAAATCAACAAATGCTTCCACGGTGATTCTCGATCATGTGGTCATCGTGATGTATCTCTCCATTCCTTTCGGGCTTTCCTCTGTAATCCTCGGATTGCATAATTGCAATCTAAGAAATATTTTGTCATATCCCACTCATCAGCTGTGCACTTTCACTGATGATCTGGAAGCGGAAGGTCATGGAGCCAATCCGGTGGAATGTCTCTATATTCCCTCTTCAATACGAAGCCCAGACTTTTACGCATGATGAAACAATGATCTGATATTAACACCGCCAATGTTAAGGAGAGGAAAGGATAATATCTAAATTATAAATATCTAATATATATAGACGATCGTGACTGACTGACTGCCAGTCAGACATGCTACTACTACGCCACTGAACCCGGGTCATCCGTTAGCTCTCCGAATGCCATCCTCATCTGTCACAAAATATAAATGGTCGGGTTCAATTCCCTGCCAATCCTTGGCTCTCATTTGTTTTTTTTTTTGCGTTCCAGGTCCCGTTACTCATTCCCCCACCATAATATTATTTTTGCTTGAGTAAAATGGAGACACATAGAAATCTGAAACTTGGTACACATGTGCCTTGTGGGATGCAGAGTTCCGAAAAAATCCGACTTTGGCGTACATGCCCTGGGGGTATAAATTTTGGGGGGAAATATTTTCTTAAATATATTTTGTGACAGATGAGGATGGCATTCGGAGAGCTAACGGATGACCCGGGTTCAGTGGCGTAGTAGTAGCATGTCTGACTGGCAATCAGAATGGTCGGGTTCAATTCCCTGCCAATCCTTGGCTCTCATTTGTTTTTTTTTTTGCGTTCCAGGTCCCGTTACTCATTCCCCCACCATAATATTATTTTTGCTTGAGTAAAATGGAGACACATGGAAAGCTGAAACTTGGCATGGACGTGACTACCGAGATGATCAGTTCAGGAACAATGGAAAATTTTAGATACATGTCCTCGGTGCATATTTTTATGAGCCGAAGTTTTCAAGTATTTTTTTTTTGTCCTGGCGTATCATGCTAGTGTGGAAAGATGAAACTTGGTACATAACTACCTATTGGGATGCTGCATAAAACTTCAGACTTTAGAAGTAAGTGCCCTGGGGGCACAAATTTCAAAGGGAGATGTTTTCAACTAATTTTTGCATCAGTTAAACTGATGAACATGGAAAGCTGAAACCTTGCAAGAATGTGACAACTGAGACAAGGAGTTAAAGAAAAATGTGGGAATATGGAAATGGAAAGGTTAAACTTGGCACACGTATAAGCGATATGGTGTTATTGAGTTGAGGGAGTATTCAGCTTTCATGGTGTATCCACTCCAGGCATAGCTTTTGGTTGTGTTCGCTTTTCCAAATATTTTTTTTTCACCAGCGAAAAGGGCAAACGTATAATATTGAAACTTTGTGGGGATGTATTAATAGTTCACTGAGGATGGATTTCGGTAAAAAAAAAGGTACTTTTCGGCTAAAATCCTTCAAGACATATATATTGCAAAAGTGTGTATTTTCTCGAATTTCTGATCCAGAGAAACAGAGGGCGCTAGAAATTTGAAACTTGGCAAAGAAGACCCTGATGTATAGCTGAGTAAATAAAAAATTATACTTTTATTATATAATAAGCGAACGTGAGTAGCTGACTGACATAAGTCGCATGCTTAGCTGAGGAAAAATTCTAATTTGGCGATACATGCCATAGGGGCACACTTTTTGGGGAACATATTTTCAAATAGTTCTCTTTGCTTCAATCAAACGGAGACACATGGAAAACTGAAACTTGGCAAGAACGTGACTGCTGAAGCACTGAGCTCAGGAAAAATGTGAAATTTCCAAAATATTGGAATTTTTGGGGGGGGGATATTTCTTGGGGACGTTACGTTTTCAAAGAATTTCTCATATCCTAGCGAATCGGGCAGAAATAGAAAAGTAGCAGCTGGCGCAGGTATAACGGACGTGATGCTGATTTAATGAAAAATTCTACTTTTGTTGTGCTCAGAGCACAACTTTGGGGTGGGTCGCTTTTCCAAATACATTTTTTACCGCCAGTGAAAAGGGGAAACGTATAAGGCTGAAACAGTGTGGCATGGAGTTCCCTGAGTCAACATTTTAGAATTAAAAAAAAATTTGTTCAAACTCATCACGGGACTTTTTTGTAAGTCCCATTTTCCTTAATTTTTTTTTGATCCAACAAAACAGAGACAGAAAATTTAAACTTCCCTCAGAAGTACCTCTTTGATGGAAACATCCTACTTTTGAAATATGTCTCCTTAGAGTAGATTATAAGAGGGAAGTATTTCAAAATGTATTCAAAGAGGGACACATGAAAAGATTTCAAGTTAGGCACATTAGAAATAATAGAAGTAACGATTTTGATAAAAATGAAGATTTTCGCCCCCATATGTGACGTATTTTATTGGGGACGCACTTTAAATACGTGTTTACCATTTCGCAAAGAATAAATGAATTTACCACTATCCAAGGTATTGGAGCGCCGAAGGCGCGACCATAGCATAGTAATTTATAATTGACCATAGTAATTTATAATTGACCATAGTAATTTATAATTGTGAACCGTTACTTCGAATACCTGTGCGCCTAATGCCAACTCATGACTTCATGTCATTCCGATGCAAGATGTCATGCCATGAAGGTTGTAAGGTCAAGAATATATCCATATGTGTGTCATATGTATGTCGTATGTGTGTTGGCCCTGCCATGCAGGTTAAACTTGCACGGTAATTCATCGTGTACGTTCAACTTGCACGGCCGAATCGTGCTGGGTTAACTTGAACACTACATCATGGCGTGCAGGTTGAACTTGCTTGGGCGAACCCTTGTTCAGGTTAACCCGGATTGCACAGTAGAAGCCAGAATTATGATCGTATGCCTTCTGCTGTCGGTTCTCGCTTTTTCTTTTCGAACAAGCATGCCAACACTACAAAAGGAATTGGTTGATCACACTAATGAATGAAATGAGGAGATTGCTTCACGATGGCAAATCGTCCAAAGGGAAAGAATCTGCAATAACTTTGTCAATTCATTCAAGCCTTTCTCTCAGCCGCACCTTGTTGATTTCTATTCATTTTTTTTTGCAACAATGAGAGGATCCGTGGCAGAATAGCACCGAAATCGGGAACACACTTCCATCTTTTGTTTTTGCATGCAAGTATCCGTGCCCACTCCGCTCATTTCCTTGACCATGCTGAGTACAAATTCCGTACCGAGCTGGTACTTGTCCTCTGACACGCTCATCACGACTGCAACAAGGTTTCAGATGATCCACGATCCACGTACGGAATGGGTACTAGGACATCGTCGCCGATCTCGAGAGGTGTCAGTTGATTCTTCGCGTCTTCTGCGGGCCTTTCTCGGTCCCGCCGTCGCCCTTGTGATTGCAGAAGGAGATTCCACAATTTCGCCTTCATCATTTGAGATTTTCGATCGGTCGGAATAGGGCCATCTGAATGAGGCCAGCCTCAATTTGGACTGCTTGCGGATTGCGATCGACACGAAGTCGAGTAGGTTCGACTACGTTTTGATGACTTGGGCAACGATGGGGTCGCCGGGCCAACATTAGGCTCGTGACCGAAGAGTGACAGGTCAATGACACGGGGATGGCAGCGATTTTTTTTTTTTAAATTGGACGAATCGCAGGCCATCGCTCCGATGGGTAATGTTGTTTACCCGGATCCATGTCGCGAGCAGATCATGTATGTCCGCATTGCAGCGTTCGAAGCTTCCTTGAGATTGTGACACGTGAGCGTTAGCTCTGTCACGGATTCCGTCGCAAGTTCTCGCCCGTTGTCGCTCTGCAGAATAGCTGGAGCTCCGAGTAGAAGGAAAACGTTCGGTGACTGGTAAGCAACTTCCGTCGCTCGTTTCTATCGAAGGGGGCGTAGCACACAGAACTTGGTTAAATGATCCTGATAGTTAACGATCCACTGGAACTCCCCATCTCTTTCTGACTGAGTCAACCTGCGCCTTCGAGTTGAAGTCACCAGATATCAGGGGATTGACTACGAGCCGTTTCGAACCCGTTTCTGCGCCTTCCTTTTGACGCAGCATTCCGTGTAGTTTCGAATGTAGCATTCCACTATGGCTCGATACATTCGCATACTTTTCGTGGACTTCTTTGATGGTATTGTTGATCGATGCCCAAGGGCCTCATGCACGCTCTTCAACACATCGTACACCTCAGGTAACGGAAGATGTAAGGCTTGAGATGAATCGCTCGCCTTCGTCACAAGTTTCTCTTCAGCCCCGAATTTTAGGACGTCGTAATTTCTGATGGCCTTGTCGGGCCACAGCCGGGCTTTCTTCTCCTTGACCTTAGCAGCCTTGACCTTAGCAGCCTTGACCTCTCGCATCTGTCTATCGGGAACACTCCGTCTGTCTATCGGGAATGCTCTGTCTATCTGTCAATTGGGAGACTTGGTCTTCTCGTAGAGTACCAGCAGATAATCGTTGAACTGGGCTTTCGTTCCCACTATCAAGAATTTGAAGGCAGATTAATCGGAAGAGAACCACTTCAGCGTTGGAGAACCAGAACGTTCACTCTCACTTTTATCGCACTGAACAAGGTGAGAGGATAAGAAAGCGGCTGGATGAAGAAATCTCCCTTATTTTTTTTTTCCTTACTGGATATCCCTCCTGAGCTTGCACAAAAGTCCATCGTGTAGGTTAATTTGCATGAGAAGGAAAGCGTGCAAGTCGGACATGCATGAGGCAAATCTGACGGATTCAAGTTGCACGGTATTTTTTTAAATGCAAGATCAGCTTGCATGCGATATATACTCAGCGTATTTTTTTTTTTACATCTTTGGGCGTTTTGAATCTTCTGTCATGATGTAAATGATATATTGGGAATAAGTCTTTTTTTACCCTGATTTTTTTTTTAATCTCAAAGCGAAGTTCCCCCAGGTATAAATTTCCTAGCGAAAAAAATTATATTTATTGTAAATACTATTTGTAAATAGCCTGCAGTACCAACCTGAATTTTAAAAATACCCTCCGACAATGTCAAGTGCATTTTAACGTTCAAAATTTGGGAGTATCAAATTAAGTAAGTCTAGCAAATTGCGAAAATCCGAACATCTAAACAGTTCGCACTAAAATTTGCAGTGTTTAAAATTAATTATTGTATTTATGGTAAAAATTCACAGATTGATGGGAAATATCTCTCGATTTGGGTCGAAATTTGTAGTTGAATCTACAGACTTCGAGCAGATTCGATTGACTCCATGAAGTAGATGGCAGGAAGTAGCAGATGTGCAATTTCTCAATGACTAATGACGGGCTGACGCTCGTTGTCTGTCATTTGGCTTCTAAAATGGGAACTACCAGTTGGGTTCACCGAGGAGTTTGGACGTGTTCATAACGCCTTGAGATCCGGGAAATATTGAGCCATCGTTGAAAATATTTCTACTCGCAATAGAACAATTGGTCATGGCATAAACATTGAAATACCGTTAATAAAAACTCTCATAATCTGTGGTAATCCATTATCGTTCAACGATCCTCTAAGCAAAACCATTTGGGTGTGCTGGGATGAAACGATGCGATTTCACAGGTGACAAAAGTCTGCAAAAAATGCTGAACTTCCCAACCCAATTTTTCTTTTAACTTGTTTATTTTAATTTTAATTTAATTTTATTTTATTTTTAGCCGATCCACGTGGATCGGCTTTGCAAGGACGATCCGAGTTTTCGCTATTCAGCCTTCGTTGCAAATGTGCATAATCTGCAGGTGTTAAGCCGATTCCATTAGAATTCACCTTTGGTTTCTCATTCTCATTCTCCTCGTCGAACGTGATTCCTCCTGTAATCCGGTGACTTAATATAACTTCCACCCTTAATTATCTATTTCCCACCATTTCTTCGCGATGATCTGCAACTCGTCTTGTGCAGGCAAGGTTAAATTAGATTAGCTTATCTTGAGATCAGTCGCTTCTTGGGAGTACTATTGAATATTTAATTTGGGGGTGGATTGAATATCGCGATATCGAAAATTCAACTTGTGACGTATTTGCATTTCTAATTGTCGCTTTTCAGCATCATGCTGATTATCATTAGGCCAACGCATGATGTGAGGCGAAAGAAAGTGGAGAAATCGGGGTTGGGATGTGAATTCTGCGAGAAGATTTTCGAAGATCGATCGGCATTGGTCAATGTTGATCCCCCAAAAAGACGTGAGCGTGGTTTTCCTGGGCTGAAGTTTTCAAATTTTTTTTAAGCCCCACCCACTCACAACGTGGCCGAGAAATTTCTTTTCGCCCGATCGAAGTGCCTCCTCCGCACCTATTCAATGGTGAAAATGTTCCAAATGCTACAGTGGCTACAACTGGATGCAGACCTCCACCGAAGGGGTCAAAAATCGTTGCCCTCCGGATGGCATAATTGTATCGATTTCAGAGCGTGGGGAGGTGTCAAATTTCCCAGTACTGAGATTACGTGAATTAAAAAATTAATCAGTCTTTCTTATACGTTTTAGAAACTTTTCTGGACGACGGCGGCCTTCCTACCATTTTCTAAAAACTTGACTTGTCAAGGCATGCCACTGGGGAAATTTGTGACAGCGATGGAACTCACGTGAAATGGAAGGTTCACCATGCATAAATAGGGATCTCGCAGCCAGGGTTTGTCTGCCATCGTCCATAGACCGTACAGCAGGAGGAAACTGTAGCTCACGAATCGAAATCTGCGGAAATTGAGATTGTGTTGTGATGGTAATTTTTTTATCACAATGCTGCAAAAAATAATGATGGTTCTTCGACGTGGATGTGAATCATTTATATGTATATCCGTTTAGTGCCTGGTGCAGCAGGCTACGCTACATTGCCGGACGAAAAATATTTGGACTATTATATAAATATATTTTTTCCAATTAAATATAAACATTTTTGCAATATTACAATTTTCGGGCCTTCAAATAGGGTAAACATGAAGAATGAAATCGTTTTTCTTAACCTATATCCCTTGTTCAAGGATCTAAATGAAACCAAACATATTCCTTTTGCTTAAAAGGAGAAAGTCATGCATGAACCCTTCAGCAAAGTTTTTTCCAGCATGTTAAAAATATATATTTCCAAATAACAGAGGTACCCGGCGTTGCACGGATGAATATTGTATAGGTTCCGTATTCGTCTGCCCTAAATACGGTACCCCTGGGCAAGGCCGGATATAAGGGCATGGGATCAAGGCGACTGCCTAGGGCGGGGCGGGGCGGGGCGGGGGAAGACGCTCCTCGCCGGGGGCTTCATTTGGGCTTGGGTCGGCTCTGCCCTGGGGGTCCGAATTTTGACGTCGAGATCACTCTAATCGATCGTTTGCAAAAATTCTTCCTCCGGAATGGATCTGTGGAGCTGCTGATCCATGGTGGCGTTGATCTTGCATATGTGGCCAGTTCCCACGCTTCCAGAACCAGGCGCGTCCATCTGAGCCAAGACGGTTGAACTTGGTCTCATTCGAGAAAATGACTCGTTTCCAGTCGTCATTCGTGCAATCGATGTGGTTTCTGGCGAACTCCATTGGGTCTTGATATTTGCCTGAGAGAGTTTCGGCTTTCATTTCTTCTCTGCTGCACTTAAGCCAGCTTTGTGGAGGACGCGGCGAATGGTCTTCGTGCTAACCTCGACTCCCACGTCGTCCCTGAGCTTGATGATGGCCTGTGTGGCTCTTTCCAGCTTCCCAGAGGTGATAGCACGGACACAGAGCCGCTTGTCTTGAAGCGACAGATTCTAAGGACGACAGGCTTTCGACCCAAAGGGTCAGAAAAATGCTGTTTCTAGATCTTTGGAACAGACGATCTGCCGATGTTGCAACATTTGCCAATCTCCTTGAGGCTATAACCCTCATGGAGAAGCGTGAGGACGTTGCGCAGGGTGCTGCCAGAAAGGGGACGCATGATGACTGAATTCAAGTACGTCAACGGCTTCTAAGCTATTGGTCACGATCTCATCTAAGTACTTTACGAGCACAAGATATTCGCCCAACCTTAGTCAATGCAAATTCGTGATTCTCTTAATAATTCGTCGTGTTCCGCGTGACAGCATTTTCGCGAGACGGGACCGGGGACAAACATGCGGACAGAACATGGGGACACTTGTGTCCCACAGTGTAAATCCCTTTAGTGCCTTGTGCGGCAGATAT